GGAGGCCCTGCAGGTGCGACCCTGGGCCACCCGGCATGGCCACAGCTCGGCCACGGGGGGAGCCCAGGGCAGGGGATCGCAGGGACGGGATGGGGGGTGTCCGCTCACAGCCTGGCTGGGCTCCAGTCGGGGTGAGAGCGGGTCGTGCTTCCCGGCAGGCTCCCGGGAGGGTCCAAGTGGCCTTTCCAGCTCCTGGGGCACGCTCGCCCCTTGGCTTCGGCTGGCCCGTGGCCGCGGCAGCACAGGGTGACGTGCCAGCTCCTCCCTGTGATGACCACGTACGGTGACAAGGGAACCTCCCGTCTCAACATCCCGAGCTGACAGGTTCCAGGAACACGCGTGAGGCGTGCGTGTTGTCCGCAGCCCGGCACATGCGTGCCTTGCGCGTGTGCGTGTCTGTATGTGCGCCGTGTGTGCAGGGGTGTGGCTGCTCGTGTGCCCTGTGCGTGCGTGCTCCTGGTGAGCTGTGTGTGAGGACGCATCTGCGCACCCGGGGGGAGCCCGCACGTGTGCGCTTCCTGTGGGGCCGGCCTGCCGCCCACTCCCGGCGTGCGCAGGGCTGCCTGGGTCCTCAGGGGCAGCCCCGGCCCACGGCCTGAAACGAATCCCGAGGGCTGGGGCAGAGACAGGAGGCAGGGCAAGGAGCCAGCACTGTTTATGGGGCCAGCCAGTGGGAGGGAGGGAGACAGTGCCTGGGTCAGGGTGGGATCTGTGGGCCGGGAGGCTGGCAGCCAGAGGGGCTCCCAGCAGGGGTTCCCGGAGCAGCAGGTGCAAGGATCCGGCTCAGCTGGGGCCTCCCCTCTTCTCTGGAGGATGGGCCCAGGTTCCTGTGTCTGGGTCCCATGTGCCCAGGGAATCAGGGGCCCTCCCTCTTGCCCGTGTGAGAGTGGTCACCAGTGTCTGTCCCTTGGAGGGCTGTGGCCGAGGGGGCGTGTGCAGTCCTCTCTCCAAGAGCTGCGAGGGCCCGGGCGGCGCCTCAGGCAGGGCGGGTGCCCACGGCCCACCGCCGCCCGGCAAGGTTTTCCGGGCTCCGCACAGTCCCTGGCCGGCTCCAGCGTGCCTCCTGGAAGGACATCTTGTCCGCACCGCCCAGCGGGGCTGGGTCCCTGCCCTTAACCTTGACGAAGGTGATGAAGCCACTGTAGAGCAGGGTGAGGAGGAAGAGGGCCACGAACGTGGGCCACAGGTGGCCGGCGTCCTCCAGGTCCGGGTAGTTATCACAGTTCTCGTATGCGCTCTGGGGGACCCCGGGTGTCGCGACCAGTCCTGGGGGGAGGAAGCGGCACTGGCTGAGAAGGTTGGTCCTGCAGCCTCCCCGGCACCCGCTGGCGGCAGCCCCAGGCGGCTGCTCAGGGGCCCTGGCCTCCTTGAGCGCTCACCCCGTCGCCCACTTAAGCACCCGCGACCGGCCTTCTCGCGGCAGGGCCTGTGCCCGCGCCTGGCTCAGCAGAACCGGACAGCTCACGGCCCGGCCGGGCAGGCGAGCCGGAGCTGCACAGGGCAGGTGAGTGGCCGTGCAGTGTGACAGAGAGCGAGGGAGGCGTGGCAGTAAGCAGGCGGGACACCCAGGGACCGGCCCGCAGGCTGGCCGGCGGGGCTCCCTCAGAAGTGGGAGTTGTGCTGAGCTGTGGGAGACAAGATGATGCCACAGAGAGGAGGGAACCCATTCCACGCAGAAGGAACGGCGTGCGCGGTGCCCTGGAGGGGAGGCAGCCTGGCCCCCGGGGGCTGGGGAGGCTGGTGGGGCTGGTGCGGGGGCTCCAATGTGGGGCGAGAGGGCGGTGCGGCCCGGAAAGCAGCGGGGAGCCGTGGGAGGGCTGTGAGCAAGAGCATGCTGCCCGGGTTGGGATACAGCATGGCCATCCCGCTGGATTTGTAGTGGGGGCCTTCCGGCTGCAGCCGGTGCCCGGAGAGTCGGGGGGGGCTGCTGGGCCAGCTGGAGGTGGCACGGGGTGTGGGAGGCAAGCGGGGACCCTGACAATAAAAAGCTGGCACAACTTCGCTTCTGTGAGTTTTATTCTTTGAGTAATCAGTGATTAGTTCCTCTCATCCGCTCCACACTCAGGGGTCCACGGTGAGTTGGAACCTTCAAGGGCAGCGTCCCATTGCCACAGATACTGTGAGAGGTGTGGGGCCCAGGCGGGAGTCCGGGCATGGTGGTCGGATCTCCCATGAGCAGCCCAGGGGCCAGGGCCGTCTTCGCAGACCCGCTGAGTATGGAGCTGTGGACACCGAGCATAGGTCAGCTAGGTGAGCAGCTGGGCGGCAGGGTGGCGTCCTGCTCGCCGCCCGGCCCAGCGTGTCCACCCCATCTCACTGGGGCCACGAGGGCAAGGGCTGGGCAGGGCCTGGGTGCTGTGCCTGACTGGGTGGCCTGGCAGGAAGCTTCAGAGGGGAGGGTGAGCCCTGGACTCTCTGTGAGCTCCCTACCCTGTGGGTCCCTGTCCCCTCCACAGTCAGCCTGCGATCAGGCCCCCACTCCTGGCTCCCGAGTCGCTGACCTTGGTTGGGACAGGTTTGGGGTCCTTGGGGCCTGGAGAGGCTCAGACATCCCTGGGAGGGCAGCTGTTGTGACCACCCCCACGTCCACCCAGGGGAGGCCCCTGCTCTCTATCCAGTGCCGGTTGTATCTTCACAAGAAATGGCTGCTTCTTGGGGCGTGGCAGGGGAGACCCCCACCTCCCACCCTCCTGGGCCCGCCCGCAGGGTGGGGACAGTGAGTGCAAAGCCCAGACGCCAAGCCAGCCGGGGTGGGGCTGCCCCAGGGAATGGCACAGACGCTTAGCCGCTTAGCCGCAGCCCGGCTGCCCACCCCCAGCCCTGGGCCTGTGGGTGACTCACCCCCAGTGTTCAGGCTCCAGCTGCCGCTGAGCAGTTTCCCTGAGGCCGGGTGCCTGACCTCACACGTGTAGGTGGCCAGCTGAGGGTTGGGGGCGGCCGGGACCCGCAGGACGCTCCACATGCTGAAGGTGCTATTCCCAGGCTGGGCCGTGGGGGCCGTGGTGGTAAACCAAGAGGAGGGCACCTGGTGCTGGCCCTCCTGCCAGCTGAGGTGGAGCTTTGGGGGTGAGAAGCCGGACACCTCGCACAGGAGCCAGGAGGCTGCCCCGGCAGGAGCATGGGTGCCCGGCGTGGACAGGACTTGGACTACAAGGCCGCTGGGTGCCGTGGCGGCTGCAGGGAGAAGCCTGGTTGTGCTTGGGTCGCCAGACGGCTTTGGAGAATGCCTGTCCTCGGCGGGGGAGGCGGCCAGAGGGGCTGTTGAGAGAGGGCATGTGAGGCCTCTGGCCCGTTCCCCTCCCTTCTCCCCACAGTCCTTGCCCCAAGGGACTGGCCTCTGAGAAAGGGGTCCAGTGGGCTTCCCAGTTTCTGGCTGGGAGCGGCTGGGGGGCACTGTGA